TTTTCGAAACGTCCGTGGATTGAAGCTGCTGACTCGTACACTCTTCTACCCCCAAGCAACCTAGGGGAGCCCAGCTGCAGCCCCGACGAGCGCAACGCCGCACAGACGCCGTGAACTCAGGGTTTAGGGTTCAGGGGTTAGGCACATTTCCTCTGTCTTGCCCACACCCCCTCCCCACAGCCGCCTCCAGATGCGCAGTAAGCGATAGGCTGGATGGCGGCGCATCCTGTCGAGATCGAACTCTCAAAGTCTACTCTTCACCCACAGCCGCGAAACCTACATGGATTCAAAGAAGGCTTTACACTCCGGATCCCTAAAGCCTCAAACTAAATCCGATTCTAAGCATGGGTGGTGTCAATATTTAGCATAGGTTCGAGGATATCAATATGCTTCAAGCATGTAAGCCATGTAAGCATTAGAATCAGAAGCGTAAACTCTTACTACTTAGTCCGAACCCCTGTGCTGGCCAAAGTTTCCATCTTGAATGGAGGTTTTACATGCACCGCCCAAGGTATAAGTCTTTGGGCGCACGGTAAGTTTTGGGTAGGGTGCTTTAGAGTTTATTGTTGACGGTTTAAGCCATAAACCCTAAACCCCTAAATCCTAAGCCCCTCAACCCTAAACCCTAAACGGTTTAAGAATGCTACGGTTTGGAGGTTACAGCTTTTGGGTTTGGGGCTTGGGCTTTCCTAAGCCGTCGCTCGTCGAAAGCACAACATGGCTCTTCCAGGTCGATAATTACCCAGAGAACCCAATACCCCTTAATTAAGGAATATACCTTAAATCATAATATTAAGGACCGTATAGTTTAAGGTATGATCCTTAATGAAGGGGTATTGGGTTCTCTGGGTAATAGGGTTTAGGGCCCTCAACCACCGAAACCTAGCCAACATGTGTTTGCATACACATCGAACTACGCAGACTGCCCACTCTTCCCTGGGAACTCTTTGCCTCTAGTAGGTTACTGGTACTCGTATAGGTAACAAGAGTTTCAGGTATGGCAATGGGAAGAATAACCCACCATCCATGGGTGGTTCTCTAGATCAGGGTCCCTTTTAGGTCCACAAAATAGTACGGCAGCCTTATCAAAGGGACGCTACAAGGGACCCTAATTTAGAGAAACTACCCATAGGCCCCATAGTAGTTCCTCTTCGGGGTTACCTTATCGGATTCTATGTATGAACCCCAAAAAGGAACTACTTTAGGGCCTATGGGTAGCCCCATGTGACCGTCCACGTTCATTCAGCCCAAGAGGAATCGTCCAAGTCCTCCCGGGGCTCCCGTCGGCCATTCCGTGCACCTGCCAGAAGAAGGCTCTCAGTGTAAATTTGGGTTTAGGACTTCGGGCGTTAAGGTTTAGGGTTTAGGTGCTTAGGGGTTTAGGGGTTTAGGGTTTAAGCTTGAGGGGTTTAGGCTTTAGGGCTCAGGGTTTAGGCTGCACCGTACTAGTGGACCTAAGGAGGAGCATTTCTAGTTGCAATGGCAGTTGCCTGCATCTCTGACGGCATGAAGGCTTGAGGTCGTGGATGTGAGGCTTGATGCACTATTAAGGATTGCTTCGTTCGGTCGTAAGGCTAGGGCACACAATTACAGCGCAGAAGCCCCACAACTCCCTGCAACTAAGCCCCAGTGCCATACGCTGGGCCATGCAAAGCCGCACCAGTTGTTCTATCCGCTCTTCACTGCGAGGAGGAAATTGCACGCCAACTCTAGGAGCCAGGCGGTGTTGTCTCTGCCCATGCACATACCCTAAGGGTCCAAGCACCTAGTAATCACATACTCTTCTGAATACTGAGATGCAAGCTGTGTACCGCAATATGCAAAGACACCAAACCGTCCCAAATGCTCATGGGCTGATGTGGGGAAACCATTCTCTCCAATCCTGCTTCAAGCAAGTTGCCGTATGAATCCGGGGGTTAATTTTAGGGGCCTGCTGAAACACAAGTACCATTCCTTCAGGATCCCTCGCACAACTATAGAGTACATCATCTGCCCCAAACCCTACTCTAGCTGTCAAGGCTCCAATATCATAGACTCCTTGAGAGGAACCCATTCAGGGAACCTCTTTCGAACCCTATACTGAAAAGACGTCAGGCTGCTATATGGGTAGTTTTCGAAATTAGGGTCCCTTCGTAGATTCTCAGTATAGTACGGCACCCTTGCAAAAAGGACCCCCAAAGGCACCCTAATTTAGAGAACTATCTATAATTGCATTTGTTGAGTGCCCCTGCGATGGATGCCTGCCTTCCTGAGAAGGCTTCCGCACATTGGGCCTGGGGTGCAAGGCTCTTAGGACTTACACACCCTGGAGGAATTTAGGGTTCAGGGATTAGGGCTTCGGGTGATGCTGCATTATAACCTATGAACTCTGAACCCCAAAACCCAACCGCCTAGAAGTATAGTCTCGAGGGCTTTGCGCTCATAACTTCCGGCAAACGCTTCTGGTTGCCGCATCGTGGAATGCATCCGATCTTGATTTGACTCTTGACACTATACATCCCCTAAACTCTAAACTCCTAAACCCCTAAACCCTGATCCCTAAACCCTCAACTCCTAAACCCCTAAACCCTAAACCCTAAAACCCTAAACCGCTAACCCTTAAAACCCAAAATCCTGAAACCCTGAACCCTAAACCCTAAAAACCCTAAACACTAAAAGCCTGAACACTAAAATCCTAATACCCTAAATTCAGATGAGGACGGGGGCCTGGGGCCTGGGGTGGTTAAACCTGATGAAGCCTTCTAAGGGGCCGAAGGGCATGGGGCGGCGATTCTGCCATAGTACTCTAGTAATTGAGGGGTTTATGGTTTATGGCTCATATGGTTTAGGGTTTAGGGCTTGGGTTTAGGGTCTAGAATGTAAAAGTGTGCAGGGACTCGTCCTGCTGTACAGGCACACACTACGTCGGACATGTGAAACTCCATAACCAAGCCGACACTCGTATCGGGTTCATCAGGGTTGAGGGTTTGGGGATTGAAACCTTAAAGAGATCTTAAACCCTAAACCCTTAACCCTAAACCCCTAAACCCCTAAACCCTAAACCCCTAAACCCTAAACCCTAAACCTTGAGTCCACTATCACATCCGCGTGGCTGCACAGCCAGCGACTCCACGTGAAAGCGGAGAGGCGTCACGATGTCGCAGTCGAAGACCATGGCTTTCGGATGGGGGCATGATTGCCTGCAGTAATTCGGGGGTTTCCGAAAATAGGGGGCCCTCATATAGTGCCCTAAATAGTCGGATCCTTATTATAAGGACCCCCAAGTAAGGCACCCCGTATTTTCGGAAACACTGATTTGGCTTTAAGGGGCTGAAGTACTGCATAGGCGTGCCGGCTTGACACTGTGGGGGGTTAGGCGGCTTGCTGAGCTTGGGGTCTTGAGGGAGTGCGGGCGGCATATGGGAGGTTTAGGGTTTAGGGTTTCGGGTTACTTTCAGGGTCGTGTAGTTGGCTTCCTACAAGTCCATGACATCGGCGGCTATACTTCTTGCTATCGGATTACTGGCATGACCAGAAGGCTTGCAGATCTTACATGCACTAGGGTGTGTGTGTGTGTGTATGTATGTATGTATGTATGTATGTATGTATGTATGTATGTATGTATGTATGTGTGTATATATATATATATATTAATATACACATGTACACCGGGTTGAGAGGACAAGGGCTTAGGTTTCCGTGGCGTTGGAGGCATGGTGCCGCACATGCTAACTATGGTCTCCACCAGGCCAGCGCAGCGGTTGGGGTTTAGGGGTCTAGGGGTCTAGGGGTTTAGGGTCGGGATTCAGGCACCCCATGCCGGGGTGCAGAAGAACCGCCGACAAGGATTGATAAACTAAGCCTTCAACCTCGATCCCCAACCCTGAAACCCTAAGCCCCAAATCCCTAACCCCGAAAGCCCAAACCCCGAAACGTCGAACCCCCAGACCCCAAACCCACCAGTTGCGTTTGATAGATCCGATGTTTCCTATCCCAAAGGGTCCTAGGTACTGTTATGGGGGATACTTTCCCAAACCATAATAAGGATTCCTAATATAGAAACCATACATTCTACTATACAGGTCCTTTGGACCCTTGGGGTTTTAAACCCTAAACCCTAAACCCTAAACCCTAAACCCTCAACCCTGAACCCTAAACCCTAAACCCTCAACCCTCAACCCTTTAAACCCTAAACCCTGAACCCTCTACTATATGGGAGTTTCCGAAAGTTAGGGGTACCTTATTTAGGGGTCCTACTATGTAGGGTACTATATGAAGGTCCCCTATTTTCGGAAACCTCTATGTAGGTACTTTGGACCCTTGGGGTATGTTTTGGGCCTGCGGGGCATCCTTGAGCCTTAGGGTGTCGATCTTCGGAGGTTAGGGTTCAGGGCAAGCTCAGGTTTTAGGGTTTAGGGTTTAGGGTTTCAGGGTTTCAGGGTTTAGGGTTTAGGGTTTAGGGTTTAGGGTTTAGGGTTTAGGGTTCAGGGTGTCAAGGTTTAGGGTTTCAGGGTTTGGGGTTTGAGGGGTGTAGGGCTTAGGGTTTGAGGGTTGAGGCGGCAGCTGGATGTATCCTTGTGGACTTACTTCTTGGTCAACGTGTTGAGAAAGAAGTATACCAAAAACCAAGAAGGGGGTAGCTCGGGCGGGCAGCTGAATCTGTCTTTGCGGACTCACTTGTTGGTCAAAATGCTGAAGAAAGACAAAGAAAGAAGGATACCAAACTCAACCAAGACGGGGATACCTGCTAGTTCCGTTGCCAAGTAAACCCTTAAACGCAACACCAAAAGCCTGAACTTCAAAACCCCTAAATCCTAAAACACCAACGCCGCTTAAGCCCCTAAGCCCTATATGCCCTAAACCCCTAAACTAGAAGAAGCAGGTCCCAAAAAATGTTACAGTATGGTACTCCAAACCCTTAATAGCTGAAACCCCTAAACCCTACAAATCCCAAAACACCTTAAGTCCTAAACCGTCCCTAAGCAAACCCCCAAAACCAATTGCGTCAACGGCAGGGACTCCTTGAGACGAACCTGGGAGAGCTGTCCCACCTCTCGCACACTTTGGCCATGCGGTGCCAGGTCCTGGCACGTTTGGGGTTTCAGGTTTACCTCGGTTTAGGGTCTGGGGATTTAGAGTTTGCTGTGTTTTAGCGTTTACGCAGACTTACATGAAGCCCCAAACCCATATTTGCGGATATGGAGCTAGGGTTTAGGGTTTAGGGAGTGAGGCTGTGGTCAACAACCTGGGGGTCAAAAGTCCAGAGACTACTAACCAATACCTGCTTTTTAGTAGGACCCACTGAATTGAAATACGGAACTTTCTCATGACGCCCCTGACGAAAGCAGGTCATGGTAGCGTGCCCGCAAGGCCCTATTCTGCATGAAAGCCGCCCAAAAGTATTGATCAGGCGATCTTTCAGGCGATATTGAACTCTGATCTCGGCTTAGGATGGCGGTCCTTCAAGCCTTTTGCAATGCCCTCCTCAAGCTGCGCGCGCAAGGCGTTCTCGAGGGACTCCTGTTGAATCTGCATGTATATTATGTGAGCTCTTGCGTTTCTATAGCAAGCCTTTGACATTAATCCTTATAAACCCCAACTAAGTGTGAACCCGACAGACCCGCAACATCGGTTCAGCTTTTCCGCGGAAGCTGGGGGACTTTTGGCCTTTAAGCAGTCCTGACTTGGCGAATCATAGGGGACAACACACATTGACATGTTGCAAGGAGCTGTAGCTTGCGATGCCCGGGTCGGAGTGACTTAGTGTTTCGGAGCTGAAAGGCTCCCGTGATTTGAATCGGGGTTTTATCCAACATTGCCGGACATGTTATGCTACATTCAAACAGCGCTATAAACCCTAACCTAAACCCTAAATCCTAAACCCGGAACATTGTCAGTACTAGCGGTTCGTCTCTAAGCCTGAACCCTAGGACTGCGCGGTAAGCACCCCAACAGGCTTTTGGCCAACACTAAACCCTAAACCAATAACCCAAAGGCTCCATGTACCTTTATAGTAGATTATAAGGCTTAAAAGGGTTCCTATATAGGTACTTTAAGGCCTATGTATCTACTATAAAGGCACATGGAGCCTTTGGGTAACCTAAACCCTAAACCAAAAACCCTAAACCCTAAGCCCTAGTGCTTTAGCCTTTTGCGGAGCGCGGTCGCCTGCCACGTCTGGGGACGAGGAAGCATCCTCATCAAGCTGGACATACCTCGACCCTGAGCTTTATAGGGCTTAGGGCCTTGTTTAGGGTGCAGGCTTGATAATAGCCCTTACACTGCAGCCCCATCGTACTCACTATAGTAATCCTTACAGTGCTACCTTTCTGGACACCCACTTTCTGGTTTAGGAGGTTAGCTGTAAACCGAGCCTAGCGCAAACATCGTGGACCTTGCCCCTAAAGTGCCAACACCAGAACTTGTGTGAAATCCCAAACATGATTATGCATGCACCCTTCCAGACGTCATACCCGAAAATACGCGCCGCCAGGCCGTACCATACTGAAACCCTAAACCCTCAGCGCTAAAGTCTAAACCCTATAGGCCCTGCACCCTATAAGCCCTATAAGCTCTCAAACCCTAAACTCTAAATCCTAAACCCTACAGGCCCTAAACTCTATAAACCCTAGGCCCTACAAGCACTAAGCTACGCAGCTCTCCGTTCGGGGCCCTTCATCCTCCGTCGGCGCTTTGGCTCGCGATGATCCTCGGCAAGACATCCCTACCCATAGGCCCCATAGTAGTTCCTTATAGGATTCTAAACATGAACCTCAAGAAGGAACTACTATGGGGCCTATGGGTATAGAAGCCCACATACGTGGGTTTTAGGGCTTAGGGTTTTGGGGTATCGGGGTTTAGGGTTTTAGGGCTTAGGATTTTGGTGTTTTAAGGGTTTAGGGCTTAGGGTTTAGGGTTTTGGGGTTCAAGGGTTTATATAGAGCTTAGGGTTGGCTTCGGGCTTAGGGTTTAGGGATTACGGGTGCATGGTTTAGGGGTTTAGGGTTTGGGGAAGTCACCGGGGCATGGCTACTTTAGGGTGTTGTATAGCTCAAAATAGTGGTGCACTATGCCAGGAGCCCAAAATAAGCACCCAGGTTGCAGTATATCTCCCCGAAATGAGTCGGTTTCGATAGTTTTAGGCCCTTGATGCCTTAATTTTGGGGCTCCATATGAAAGCAACTGGACTCTGGGGAATTTTCAGGCTCGAAGCCTATCGAGTTCAGGGTTCAGGGCTTCCCTCAACCCCAAATAACCTACCTTTTTAAGGACTTATGTAAGGAAGCCATAAGAAGAAACCCGAAAAAGGTATGTTGTTTGGGGTCCAGGTAGGATTTGGGGTTTAAGGCTTAAGGTTTCGGCTTGGGGATTCAGGTGTAACCGAGGCTTAGGACCTAGGATTGGCGATGTTTGCAGCGTAGGCTTAGGTATGGAGTTCTTAGGTTTAGGACTGAGGGTTTAGATTCAGGGTTTAGGGTTTACGGTGTAGGGTTTAGGGCTGCGTGAACTCCCACAAAGGAAAGCCAATGCTAACCAAGGATCGGTCAGGGCCTCATTCAGCAAAGCCGCGATGTCCTACACAACGACTTCCAGGGTATAAAGCTCCGAAGCCACGGCCCGATTTTTGTTGTCGCCCGGTCTCTCAGCCAAAACGGGGTGTAGGGCTTCAGGGGCTTTGGATTACGGGCCTAGGGTCTAGTTTTTTGCGGACGATAACCTTAAAGCCCTCGACCAAAAAAACACAGTCCTGCTTCCCATACGCTTCAGCCAGCTGAATCGGAGTGCTGCCGCTCGCTTTCGTAGTCAAATCTGCGCGACCCTGCACCAACACACGGGCCACCTCCAAATGTCCTCGGCCACCACGGCAAGCCCCAGTGTTTAGGGTTTAGCTACCTTATAAGGCCAACCAGGTTCCTTCGACTTCCAGGCCTAGGGTTGTTCAAGACACAAAAAGAAGAAACCGAAGCTAGCTCCGCCCCATAGGAGCTAAGGCCAGCCAAGGGAAACGACTTCGACATGAGAAGCTGCAGAAGGTGCAACACGCAGCATGAGCGCTTGTCATGCGTTGCATCAAAATATTCGTGTAATTCGTGTACATGGCAAAGAAGGCTCGACAGGCATCATTCTAGGCATGTGAGGTTTTTTTGCACAATGATTGGTCATGGTTGGCGTTCGGGATAGAAACACACGATGATTTCACTGCGTGCTGCAAAAGTCTCGAAGATTTGAGAACGACGCACAGCTTGCCTAGCCTGTGCTCCTGTGCGATCGCATTCCTTGAGTTAGCTTAATGCATCTTCTCTCTTCTTCAACAACCACGCCCAACAAAGTTCAAACTATTTAGGATCGACCTCATATATAAGGCCAAAAAACTTAAAGTTTTCCCATTGGCTATCTGAGTCTTAATACCATGTTCGACCATTTCAGCAGTTCATCTTTGTGTGGGTACATCATCACAAGATACCGCCAAGGGACCGCTGGAGCAAGCAACGTGTAAGGGTGACATACCATCCTGCCCTCGCCAACGACGGGCCATGTCAGCGCCAGCTCCCACAAGGCAGCGCACGACTTCCGTATGCCCCAGGATTGTAGCGACGACCAGCGGGGAGAGGTCAGAGATAGTTGCCTTCTCTTTGTCTGCTCCGGCTTCGACCAGGAGCTTTACCACCGACACCTCGTTCCTCTCGCAAGCACAAAGCAGCGGCGTGACACCATCCTGGGTTGTTGGTACCGGAACCTACAAACGGATATCACCCCCCCAAAAAAGTACTTGTTGCAACCTATCCGGGTTCCGGCAACTTCAACCCCCCCGCTCACTCCAAACCCCAAACCCCAAAACCGGAAGCTATAGGATCGAGCATCCACCGAAGTACAGTCGATGTCAGCCCGATACTTCAGCAGGAAGCGGGCTGCCTCGAGCTGGCCCCCCGCACAGGCGATCATCATGGGTCTCAGACCTTAGTTTGGGTTTAGGGTTTAGGGTTTAGGGTATTTAGGCAGGGTTTAGGATGTAGGGTATATGGTTTAGGGTATCCTAAACCCAAAAGAGGTTTACAATTCAAGGGTCTAGGACATCATCATGTGTCTCAGAATTTAGAGTTTGGTTCGCTACAGGTTTAAGGTTTTGCGTATCATTCTGGGTCTCAGGCCTTTGTGTAGTGTCTAGTTTAAGTTTTAGGATTGAGGGCGAGGGTGTAAGCCTTAAGCCATGTGGTCAGGACCTATGCCTGGGTTTCGCGTTTAGGATCACAGATCTGATGAAGGGAAATCTGAGGTCATCCTTAAACATGTAATGTCAAATTTGGGGTACCTAAAGGGTCACTGAGGGTCAGACTGCCTTGTCCTGGTGGCAACTGGTTGACATCAGCCCCTCCATCCACCAAAACCTCGAGGAGTTCTAGATGGCCACGTGCGCAAGCAAGATGCAAGGCCGTGGTGGTAAGCCTTCCGTCTGTAAACGTGTCGGCTACATCAGCCTTAGATTCAAGTAGCCATCTTGCGAAATGCGAATGGCCTCGGTGGCAGGTGGCATGAAGAGGTGAAATTCCGCCATTCTCTCCACCTGCCACATTGGCCCGAGCTTCGAACAGCAGCTTGGCCGATTTCAGACTGCCATGGTAGGCTGCCAGAGACAAACACGCCACATCCATGACTGCACAGTTGGGATCGCAGGGCTTCTGAAGAAAAGACTCCACACCTTTCTCGTCATCATTCGAGATTGCTTCCGACAGCTTTCGAAGGCAATCAGCTTCTGGCACTGCAAAGGTCAGAAGCACAAGGCTCAAGTCCGTCGGGAGGCTCAACTGCGCATCCTCCCGCAAGAAGCTTCTGGGCCTGCCTCATACGACATGCTTAACTTCAACCCGTCCATGCTCACATTTCAGTACCCCCCCCCCCCTCTTTTCTGCCCACCTGGCACATGCACGAATTGCACTGCACCGCCCGGCCCTGCCCTTGCCCTGCGCTATTGCATTCCATTCCATTGTAATTGTAATTACCGCATGGCACGATGACTCCCCATTTCACACATTGTTACAGGAAGCACATTCCATGAATGCGCGGTGCATTAGCAGCTAGGCAAATAAACACTCTAAAACACATTTGCTTAGTCTTGAGTTCTACTTGTCCTTCGTGTTGGCTACCCTAGAAGCCTTAGCTCTCCTCTTCAGCCCCGAGATCTGCAGCCTGCCTGCATTGTAAGGTATGCACTTTTTGGTAAACCCTGCAAAATCCCGACTAAACCCTCGAACCTGCACATTGGGTCTGAGTCCTCGTGCAGGATGCTCCCTCCCTGCAGAAGCCGCTGTCGAAAGCGTGGCTGACCAGTCAAAGAGGACAGGTGTAGTTTCCTGGGAGGGTTTTGCTGGGTTTAATGGGCAGTTCTCTAAAATAGGGTCCCTTTTTAGGTCCCCACTATAGTACGGCACCCTTTCATAAGGTCCCTAAAAAAAGGCCTAATCTAGAAAACCACTCATATAGGGTTGCAGAAGAGATGTTTATAGGGCTGTGTACGGCCTTTAAGAAGGGGAGTTCAGAAAGGTAGGGGTAACTTCTTTCGGGATGTTTGCAATACGGATCTTACTGATCTTACTATTGCGGTTATTGTTTGGAGGCTTAGAGTAGGACCTGTAGCCCCAAACCCTGCAACATCGTAGGTTCTGACCCCTTACTTTATCAAAGGGTAGAACTGCGGTATAACCCTGCAAACAACAGGTTATTGGATCCCCTGAAACCCCTTCCAGATTCCCAGGTAGCCCCTTGAGAATAAAGCGGACCCTTTTCCCACTAGGTGGTTTCAACAAGGGAACCCAGAAAGCAAAGGACAAACAGGGTAGTACTCATGAACCTAACCTTATTTCGTGCAACTCCCTAGTTCTGGCAGTCTGTTATATATATATATATATATATGTGTGTGTGTGAGAAAGAATGTGTATAAATGCATATGTATCGCTGTATGTGTGTGTGTATATATATATATATATGCATGTATGTCTATGTGTATGTCTGTATGTGTGTATGTCTGTATGTCTGTATGCATGCATGCATGCATGCATGCATGTATGTATGTATGGACGCATGGACGGATGGAGAGATGGATGGATGGATGGATGCACGTTTGTGATATATATATATATATATATACACATATGAACATTATGATCTGATCTTCATGTCTAAAGGACCTTTGACTCGGCCAACCTGTAGGAAATCGCCCATTGAAGCCTAGGGACTGGTCGAGGCTAACTACTTCTGAGACATTGCACAGGATCCCTCTCGCACTTTGAACCGATATACCATGGGTTGTGTAACGTGTCCTTTCATCGCACAATCCGGTTTACGATTGAAGACTTGGAAGACTCTGCGTTAGTGGAAACCCTGATATTCCGTTACGAAGCAAGACCAACTGGCAACTTCTTGCAGAAGCCGGGAGAACCCGAAAGCCTCAACATGCACTTAAACTTTACGTCAGTATTCATAACAACCCAAGCCAAAACCCAGACCAACATCCGTTAACCTAAACCAGCACCCAAAACATCCGAAGCCCTCTATGCAAAGGCCAAGCATCAGAGTCTTAACAGAGTTTCCGTCCTTCTCTGTCAGATCATCGAAGTCTTCGGCAGAAAGCGTGAGAACCAAGAGACCAGAGGACATCAGCCGAACGCGCAGCATGTTTTCTGTTATGACTTCAGAGGCTGGAAGGCTTTTCTTTTGGTTTAGGGCTTACAGGTTTTAGGGTTTTAGGGTTTAGGGTTTGGGGTTTAGGGTTTTAGGGTTTAGGGTTTAGGGGTTTAGGGTTTGGAGCTGTAGAGTATAGCTGGAGGGGATATGTCGAAGGTAAAGCCCCCCAAAAAAGGCCTTAACCCCAGGTACTGCCGGTTGGGAATGGGGGACATTCGGCTACTGAGCATGCGCGATGGCATGGGTCGGAAGCTGACCAGAAGCGCCATTGGGGTATTGGCTTTTAACTCCCCGGATCTAGGGTTTCTTTTTACCTGGAACCTACCTTTTTAGGGCTCCCTGTTATGATTTCTTTAATCCTTAAACAAGTAAGTTATTCGGGGTTCAGGTAGGGCTAAAGGGTTTAGGGTTTAGGAAGCCGGCCGAGCCGTTACACAACTATCCCACTTAGAAGAGTCTTGTGCTTATGTTGGGGCTTCGCAAAAGCCTCGTGCGCTGTGAGCCTCACACATTGTGCCATGGTGCCCGCAGGGGAGCGAACGGACTTCAGGACTACGACCTATGATTGGTGGATCATGTTTGAGGGTTAGGGGTTTTGGGATGCAGCCCCAAACCCCATTCCTTCGAACGGTTTAGAGTTTAGGCTTCCGTGCTTCGGGCGAACGTTTGAGTGTTCCAGGTTTGGCTTTGGGTATTTTGCGTTGTCAGGTTTGCTTCCAGCATCCCCCGCAGCTGTGCCCTGAGCCATAATATGCGATTCAAGAAAGAGACGCTGCTTGTGGGATATACTTTGGCCGTCAGCCTGCGGTACTGTACACTTTCGTTTGAGATTCGCGTTTCGCGTTCGGACAATCATGAAAGGATGATGATTCTGGTGATGATGGTAAGAAGGGGGCAGCATGAGGATATTGGTGTTGTTTCTGGTGATGATTGGCGCCGCTCGCTTACGTTGTTCTGACTATTGCAGCTACGGCTATAAACGATCCGAGTTTGACTATGGAAGGCTTACCGCCCAGAGCGAAATTTCGAGTAGCTGTCGTCCTCGTGGGCTGCGATGCCTTCGCAGCGCTCCAAGAGATCGTTGATCGATGCGCGCGTGGAAGCCTCGTGTTGGAAGGATTCGGGTTGCTCGGGGTCGACATAGCAACTATGACGCTTTGCGCTTTGCTTTTGCATGTGTTCTCACATGTGTGTGTGTGTGTGTGAGTGTGTGCATGCATGTGCTCTTGCTTCATGGTTGGCGTAGCAACCACCACAGTGCTACTATAAGCTACTACAAAAACCCTAAGCCCTAAACCCTAAAAGGGGAGGGATTGAAAGGGATGAAGACAGAGAAACAGAGGAAGATGACCCATGAGCTTGTAAAGCCTCTCGTGTCTTTCCTAGGTACTTTCCTTGGGTTTATAGGGTTTAGGGCTTAGGGTTTAGGGCAGTTTAGGTTCCAGGGCTTCCCTGCTATTTTATTCGTGAATAGGAATCCCACCATAATTTAGGGCTTCATTCCTGTTCATGCCTGCTTGCGAATACCCGCGAAACAGGAGTGATGAATCTCGGAGGCCAATACGCGCTAACCCAAAGCAAGTGCCACAGTCTCAACACAGATAGTCTAGAGATGAGGAGATGCATGTGCGCATAGGGGGTATGGGTGGAAGATGTGGGTAATGGTAGAATCGTAGACAGATGAAGATTGTGCGCTGGAAGGGTTAGGCAGCGCAAGCACCACTGGGGCATCCCACCGTGCTCGAAACCTCGCCGCCAGAAACCTGCGATGAAGAGACTGCAAAAGCGACGTGTGCAGGTAAGGGCTTTGTAGGTAAGAGTCCAGGGTCCCGGATGGGCTTGCGAGGTCGCTCATCCAATGTACGTTTGGACAGGCGCACTTACGCCTGGTCGACTGTTGTAATTGAGGGAGAACATTCCGGAACGTTAGGATGTGTGTGCTGCTCATGCTTGACTAAGATCCTCTGGATCAAGACAAATCACATGGAGCCCACGTTGCAGAGCATAGCGAGGTCTTGAATGATCGCGACACCTCCAAACCAAACCCTGAAGCAGCCAATGCCTAGCCTAAACCGGCCCCAAACCTGAAACCGACTAAACCTTTAGGTTTAGGGTTTAGGGTTTAGGGTTTAGGGTTTAGGGTTTAGGGGTTTAGGGTTTAGGGTTTTACCCCCCGGAACTTTTATTTGAGCAAGATTCTCCAGCAATCTTGCCCCACTTGCCGCACTTGGAGACTGCTAGCAATCTTGCAATCTTGGACAACCAAACCCCCAAGTTAAGCCCTAAAGCCCACACCCAAAACCCTAGCCCTATAAGCCTGAAATAAAGCACTCTGTTAAACCTCCAGTTGCCAAACCCTAAACCCTCGATTCGATGCCGAAGCCATACGGTTCAAAAATGCTTAACACAGTCCTAAAACCCCTTATATAGGACTTTAACGGAGTGTACAGGAATATATGGGATCGTATAGGTTTCTTTCGGATCATCTGGATGATAGGTTGGTCTTGGGCACGAAACCCTGAAACATCTGATTAACGTAGGGGCCTCAACAATTAGAATAGGGTTTTGGGGCCCATTACAATAGAGTCATAATAAGGAACCCCGAAATAGTATTGGTAACTATAAAGGCCCTACACTACAACATCTGACTACCCTAAACCCTAAACCCTAAACCAACATCCGAATCCAGGCCCCAGACTGCCTGAAACCCTATCGATCCTAAACCGCTAAACCCCTAGAGTCCCTAGAGACCCAAACTCAAAACCCTAAACTTAGGGCTTAAGGCTTAGGGCCTAGGGTTTAGGGTTAAGGGTTTAGGGTTTAGGCTTAGGGGCTTAGGGTCAAAACCCTGAACCCTTAACCCAAAACCCTAAACCGTCTCAAAACACAAAAAAAGCAACGCAGGGGCCCTCGCTTCTGATGTGCTGGAGGAGCCCTGGATTTGGCAAAAGGGGCTCTAGTGTTTGAAGCCGGCCAGTGCTGATAGTGGCTAGGGGTTTAGGTTTAGGGTTTAGGGTTTAGGGTTTAGGGTTTAGGGCTCAGGGTTGAGGGCTTACGGTTCAGGGTGTCGCCTAAACCCTAAACCCTAAACCGTGGCTCTGTTTAGGGTTTAGGGTTCAGGGCGTCTGTAAGGCTCAAAACTCTCAGGAGTTCATCGCGCTTGGCTTGGGGCTCGCGGAGGATCCGAGAATCGCTCGCAGCTCTGATTGCCCGGAATCTTTAACCCAAAACCCTAAACCCTTCCGAAATCACGTCCCCACATAGATGCAGCCCAGATGACCCCAAATCACGTCCCAACACCCCGCCCCAAACCCTATCTGAACCCTAGGCAACCTACATGTTCAATGATTTCCTTATAGAGAGCCGGGCTACGACTGCAAGACTCTTCAAACGGAGGGGTCAGGCCTGGATTTGAAGAAGGAGTTCCGCAGCTCGTGCTTTCGTCTGCTCGCTGTGCACACCGCCTCCGATCAAATATCTGCAGCTCTGGCTTAGGTTTCCGGAAGTTGCTTCGGGCTGATGGCGAGGAGGCCTTTACCCTAAACCCCTAAACCCTAAACCCCTAAACCCTAAACCACTAAACCCTAAACCCTAAGCCACTAAACCCTAAACCCCCAACACCCAAACCCAAAGCCACTAAACCATAAACCACTAAACCCCAAAACCCCACCCCAAAACCCCAAAACCCCAACACCCCTAAACCCCAAAACCCTGAACCCCCAAAACCCCAAAACCCTAAACCCTAAACCCTAACCCCCCAAAACCCCTAAACCCCTAAACCCCTAAACCTCCCGAGCTTAGAGGCTTCGACTGTGAGCTCCAGCTGCAATACTGCCAGCTCTTGAGCCCAGTACCTCATACCCTCATAAGCGAAGGCAGTGTGACAGCATAGACTTTCCTAAGCCCTAAAGTAGTAGCACTAGAATCATTAGTATTCTTATTATTATTGCTATTATTGTTATTGAATTGCTAGTGCTATCCTAAGCCCTAAGCCCTAAAGTAGTCGTACTATGATTATTATCATTGCTTTATTGTTATTCTTACTGCTAAGGCCTGATCCTATACCCCCCCCCATACGCAGCCGCCCGTCCTACAAGTCCCCGAACTCTTGGCTTTGCAAAATGCCAGATGCCGCAACCATAGCGCCGGAACAACCATTTGGAGTTTAGGGCTGGGATTTGGGTAGTTCTCTAAATTAAAAGTCCGTTTCTGGGTCCCCGATACAGTACGGCACCCTTATAAAAAGGACTCCCCAAGATGCCCTAATATAGGGAGCTAGCCATTTACAAACCCTCCAGCACCCCTTCTCCTCAATATACACCTCCCCCCCGCACCCCTGCAAAATTGCAAAACGATAGCCCGAACACCGAACACTTTCCCAAGCCCGCGACCGTGTCCTGCACCCTAAACCCCTGGAGTCTAAGCCCTAAACCCTAAACTTCTAGGGTCTTTAGCCTGAGCTCTTTTGGTTCCCAAGCGCCTTTGTTCGACACCAGCGATGCGAGATTCCCGGAGATCTGCCCCATCTTTGCAGCTGGCGGCCTCGATCGAGGACGCTAGGGATTTTGGGGGTAGCTTTGAATCTTTGGAGCTTTGGTTTACGGTTTAAACTTAGGGTTGAGGGCTTTGGGTTTAGAGCGTTGGGTTTAGGGTTTAGGGTTTAGGGTTTAGGGTTTAGGGTTGAGGGCTTTGGGTTTAGGGTTTAGGGTTTAGAGTTGAATTCTCAGGGTCTATAAGGGATGTTTGGAAAACGGCCTCATTCCGAAGCGTGTCTGCTCTAATGCCTACAAATCCTGAACCCCTCAACCCTAAGGCTCAATCCCTGGAGCACCGAACCCTTTCTCAACAGCTACGAACTGGGGGAGCTTTTTCCAGGGGAGTTGGAGGCTTGGGGTTTTGGGAGTTTAGGGCTGAGGGTTTAGGGTTTAGGGTTTAGGGTTGAGGGTATGACATGATGCAATGATGACTGAAGCTTGCTCAACACTGCCACCACTGCCATTTTGATCTTTCGCATTGTAAGGGCTAACAGTGGACGGATTCCGCTACGATTCGCTGACCCACGAACAAACTGTCAAATCGATGCTGCTCACCCCGAAACCCTAAACCCAAAGCCCTAAACTCGGGTTTAGGGTTTAGGGTTTAGGTGCACTAAACCCTACACCCTATAAGCCCCAGGCTCAAAACCCTAAAGGCCCTGAAGAAGAAGAACGACCTGGGTCTCGCACTTCGCCACACAGAGCAAGCCCAGGATCAGGGGTGCTAGATCAGGATCCTCCCAGAAGCCGGGCTTTCGGTTTAGGGTTTAGGGTTTAGGGTTTTAGGGTTTAGGGTTTAGGGTTGAGGGTTTCATATCGGGTAGTCCCAAAACTAAGAGCTACAGGCACATGATAGGGTTTAGGGTTTAGTTAGGGAGAGCGGCCGGGCTCTCGGCCTGCTTTAGGGTTTAGGTTTTAAGGTTTAGGGATTAGGGTTT